GGACCAAACTTCGGGAGGGTGTTCCTTATGTTAAAGTATGCCGATATAACCCAAAACACCTATGTCCAAAGTTGAACGGTTACGGAGATAATGGCCCAAGAAAAGTGTGGTCTTCTAGCGGGTCCACAGATTATACCTATCAGCTGAGAGGCCTTATCTCTGTTTGTCCTTGAGTGCCGTGATTCACCCTAGCCGTGCTTATGTAGTTGGCTTTATCAGAACGCGTAGTAAGCACGTTACGTCAGCGCTTGCCATTCATGTCTCATGTATAGTGCTTGGAAACCCTAAGGATAATTATGACATGGCGAGCGAGTATTTTGTACTTCAATTTTATGGCTTCATGTCACTCACAAGTTAGTTTTATGTTACATACATTATTAACATTACAGAATCCACATATTCCTGCCAGTTTTAATATGTATTTTATAATCAACAAGTGTGCAACGCCGGTCAAAGTTTGACATTTCTCTGGCCATTATCTCCGTAACCGTTCAACTATGGACATAGGTGTTTTGGGTTATATCGGCATACTTTAACATAAGGAACACCCTCCTGAAGTTTGGTCCATTCCTCCTGGGACACCCTGTATAGACCACACAGCACTGCAATCGCATTATGAGATTTTATAAAATTCCATTGTAATGGATGCTTGTAATATTTAAAAAACGTTGAAATACTTAACTAAAAGTCCATCCCCTAACTTCTGATTGCATATAATACAATATGGCTTTAAGGTTTAAATAATAATGCAGATGCAGCAATATTTCCTATATGTAGTGACTGTCGTAGGGATACAGAAATAGTGAAGGATAATTCAGTGTTCTCATTATTGTGTTATCTTAACTGAAGAGTTAAAGGTTTTCTTAAACCAACATAACCTCATTACTTACATCTGACTACTAATTAAAGAACGAACCTCCTGTCTACTATTTTCTGCAAGCCCGCAAGCATGGATCACGTATATTCCCCTCACAAGTCCTACATTTTGCCAATAATTCGCTGTGCATGTATACATGTGCAAATAAATGTCAACTTATACTGAACACAAGAAACAGAGATAACACATGAAGCAGTTCAAATCGCAGTGATACGTACTTGCAGTATGTCATGAATCATTCTAAATATCACGACTGGAAGACAACTTTTTGGCCTTACATAAGCAATGGTTGTGATAAATCAGTCAGTATACTTTTTTATAAAATGCATGTTATGATCGGGACATGTAAACTGTACACGAGTCCATAAGTATTTATTTTTCTATCAAAAGTCATACTCATTATTCTCTATATGTCAGATTGGTTATCAGGGTGCTTACTTAATCAAGATTTGCTTTCATGACTGCATTACTAAATATTCTGTAGCTGGTTAAGCACCACATAAACCTTGAGCTTAAGAAAGTAAATCAGTATAAAAACAAATTTAATAAAGTGATCATTATCATATTTACACAGACAAGAGATGTCTGCACGTATTCAGCAGGAGAAACAGTTGGCAGTCCTTGAAGCCCACCAGGCTGAGATGCAACGGAGGAGAGATTCTCCACAACACAGAGATCTTCATCGTAGCTTATCACCTAGTCAGAAGAAGCCTGCAGATCAGGTAAAGTCTGGTTCATAAGAGGTATCAGAAAGTAGGGCTTCATGCTGGAGTTGTATTTACTGTCTTGATTTTCGATAAAGAGGAAATTGGTGTGTCACATGTTATTCATAAGTAATTAATTTAATGGTTCTATGAGGCTGCCCCTGGAGACATTTTGCCCTTTACCATTTCTTTCACTTGATTCTATTTGCAGTGCAACATTTATTTATCAGGAGATATATGGGTTTTCTGATCCACTTCATTCAACATTTAGTGCAGTTTCAGTACAGGAATAATCTACGTATAATTTGTAAGTTTTCATTGCTTCCTCACTATATTGCTTGCTGTAGTTCCCCATTATGTATTGCCATAAAGACTTTCTTAATTATTACATAAGTATAGGAAATTCCATACTGTTGCACTACTATCAGAGAATCTCTGTCCTAATTAATCCAAACATATTGTTGTAAATGTCACTCTTTACATGGCATTAGACTAAACATGACCTTCAGATATGCGTCATTATATGGTATCACATGAACTGGCCCAAATAATAACAGTGCTCAAATGCTGATTTGTATTTTGGAGGTATCTGGTTTGAATTTTGGCCAGAATATGACTTATGCTGGCTGAAGGATTTCATGATTCTCAGTCACTCAAGGCAAATGCTGGTATTCTACTTCAACAAGCCATGAACACTTAAGTTTACCAAACATGGTCATTTGTCATTTCTGTTTCTACCAGTAACATAGACCAATTCTTAGGCTAGAATTATAGTTAACTGTATTGTTTATTTTTTAGATTGCATCTGATACAGGTTGGGGTCCAGAAGCTGCCAAGATGTTTGAGTCAGAAGATCCAATGATTCAGCAGATGAATAATATCAGAAACTATATAAAGCAAGCGAGGTTAGAAGGAATTATACAGTTTCAAGTGTCTTATTACACAGGAGAATGCAGAAGATGTTGAAGTGGATGATGTTGAATTTCAGATCGGCTCACAAATATGATGAAGTTGCAACATTAGAGCAAAACCTGCAGGAGTTGAAGGAGGCATATTGGAAGCAGCAGCAAGAACATGGCGAGTCCTGAGAGAGAAGTTATTCATGTGATTAGTAAATATTCTTTGCATTCATCTGTCCACATTTGAATTTAACTGTTTAGTATCTGTGGTTTTGGGGTACCCATGAAAACTAGTAAGGTTGATTAAAATGTGTTTAAACGAAACATGTAGTCAAGTCAGTATAGGTAAGCATTTATCTGATAATGGTATAATTTATCTGGTCTAAAATGCTTTATTACCACTGCTTTTCAAGTTTGCTTTAGAATATGTCATTAGGAAGGTCCAGGAAAACCAGACGGGACTGAAATTAAATGGGACACATTACCTGCTGGTTTATGCCATTGATGTAAATCTTAGTTGATGCTAGTAAGGAGGTTCGAATAGAAGTAAACACAAGAAGAATAAGCATATATTGCTGTCTTGTCACCAGTGTGCAGGGCAAAATCATGACATAAAGATAGCTGACAGATGCTCTAACAGTGTGGCACAGTTCAGATATTTGGGAATTACACTGACAAATCAAAATTTGATTCAGGAACGAATTAAGAGGAGAATGAATTCAGGTAATGCTTGCTACCATTCAGTCCAGAAGCTTTTGTCTTCTCGTCCACTGTCTAAAAACATAAAAATTAGGATATACGTGGTGTGTTCAAAAAGTATGGAACCTTCTTTTTTCCCGCGTAAACCAATGAAGCGCGGGAGGCTCCCTTCGGATCTTTGGGCAGCAAAAACTTGGCAGCTCCATCATGATAACGCACCCGCTCATTCTGCTCATTTGATTCAGACTTTCGTCGCCAAACACAACATCCCTGTGGTTCGTCAGGCTCCCTACTCCCCCAACATGGCTCCGTGTAACTTTTGGCTATTTCCCAAGCTGAAAATGCTGCTGAAAGGAACCCGATTTGAGTCAAGAGAAGACATCATGCGGAATGCGACGGCCTGGCTGATCACCATTCCAAAATATGTGTTCCAGAAGTGTTTCCAACAATGGCAGAAGTGCTGGGAGAAGTGTGTGCATTACCAAGGAGACTACTGTGGAGGGGATTAGGGTTTTGTACTGCACCGCGCCCTTCGTTTTCTTCTCCTTCTGATTATTATTATGTTATTATTATTATTATTATTATGAAGAGGAAGGGCACAGCACAATCGTTACTGGCCCTATTGTTGGTTCCCACGCTCCCCTAGATGGACATGGGGTATCCAAGCTAGGAGGATGAAGCTACACTCAGTTCGTTGGCTTAGATAAGAACAAATACAATTTTAATAAAAAAAAAAATATATAACAATACATAAATAACAAACGACACATTTGACCAAGAAAACTAATACAGGCTCATTCAGAACAAACAATTTCCCGTCGGCACCACTTGTGTCGACACTAGACATATTAGGACGTTAAACACTCAGGCTATACAAACACAAGTCTAATTCTGAAGAATACCAAACCAAATCTAATAACGCACGTCGCAAGCGTTCAAGCAACGGCTTGCGACTGCGGGCAGTCCTTACCGGCCAGCCAGATAGCACCAAAAGGGAATTTAGAACAAACCCAGCCGAAACCAATATTTTCCACAACAAACCTGCTGGCTAGTAACCGACCTTCCAAGTCAACTTGGTCTACATGACTGCACTGTACAAGTCTCCCCTTCACGAGAGGGTACATGGGACCACGTGACTGACGTCAGGCTACTGCATAGTGGGGATGGAATCTGTCATGTGAAACATGATGACATCATACGTGAGCGAGCTAAACCTTAGAACGGCTCAGTACCTCCAAATCCATAAATGTATTTCTGCTGACCAAAGGTTTGATACTTTTTGAACACATGTACAAAACTATAATTTTGTTTGTGGTTCTGTAGCAGTGTGAAACATGGTTTCTGACATTAAGGGAGGAACATAGACCAAGGGTGTTTGAGAACAGGGTGTTGAGGAGAATATTTGGGCCAAAGAGAGATGAAGTGACAGGAGGTTGGAGAAAACTGCATAATGAGGAGCTTCATAACTTGTACTCTTCTCCAAGTATAATTAGAATGATCAAGTCAAGGAGAATGAGGTGGGTAGGGCATATAGCATGAATGGGGGAGAAGAGGAATGAGTATAGGATATTGGTGAGAAAGCCAGAAGGAAAGAGACCACAGGGACAACCAAGGCGTAGGTGGGTGGACAGTATTAGAATGGATCTTAGAGAGATAGGATTGGATAGTATGGATTGGATTGATCTGGCTCACTAGAGGGACCAGTGGAGGGCTCTAGTGAACATGTAAATGAACCTTCAGTTTCCATAAAATGCTGGGAAGTTTTGGAATATCTGCAGAGCTGCCAGTTTCTCAAGAATGGCTCAGGTTTGAAGTTAGCATCTGTGCTTGCCTTGTATTAATATGATAAAATTTAATTTGGTCTTCAACTATTTTTAGTCATGTGTTGCATTACTGTAGCAGCACATGCAGGCAGCCCAGCTGACCAAGCACTGCATTTTCTCAATATTAATGCTATTGACCCCGAGGTGAAGTCTGGTCAACACCCCTATATTACCAAGAGATTTAAGTTTCCCTGTTTCTGAATGATAGAGGTTCTGATGTTTTTCATGTTATGGAGGTCCACAGTAACATAACTTGTGCATGACATATTTTCTGCTTCTAGTTTTATATATTCGCTTTCTTATATTCAAGATACATACACACCAAACTTCTTGAATGAAGAAGCAGGTGTCCTAAAATGTATATGAAACAGATCTCAGGATGACAGAAGTTCCATATTTGCAAACTATGTTTCTTCTCCATTCAGGTTCCCATATAAATATACAGCAGAATGTATTTTATTTAGGCAAGTGAAGAAACACATTTAATAATATTGTTTTCTCCTTCCATTCCTTTGGCATAGGACATGCAGATACGTAGAGAGAGGGGGGAGAGAGAGCTTTTTGGTCTAATATTATAATTTGGATACTGAAGACCATGCCACTGTTAATGAGCAAATTGAAAAGCTTAGTGGCAACCATGAAGTCAGAAAGTTTATTTGTGGAGAGACAGATGTTTGTTAAATTATGTATGTGTATAATTACCTGCATTTATTATATGAACTTGTTTATTTTCTTTTGTAATGCTAGTATATTATTTTTGATATATATGTAAAATGTATTTCAAAATATAAAATAAAGTTTGTCATTGTTGTCATCATCCTGTGAGGTATCAGGCCATGTGATGTGTAACAGTTTCATGCCATGTGTTCAGTACCTTCCAAAACTTCTCACTGGCAGAGACTTCTTTCCTATAATCTGTTTTGATTTCCTGTTGTTTTCCATTCTTATGTGTTGTTTTCATTAAGTTTTGTAAGTTTGTTAAAATCTGGCATTTTACTGAATTTGTAATTCATTTAAAATGTCTTAATTTCTTTTATGATTTAGCAGTGTGTAGGCTGAAATTATCCTCATAAATTTAATTTTGGATGCCACAAACCGAGATTAAGAACTGTGGGGATCCATTGTGCTGACCACATGACACCCTCTATCCGCAAAAGTTAGCACTAACTTCACCCACAAGTGGCGGTCGCTTGTTCAGTATAGTTCACTTGCAGACTACAGACCACGGAGTTTGTTTTTTGTTAACCCCTCAAGACAATTTTTAAATCACCACTACATGGCCTTCTAAAGCAGCATTTAAATTGCTGTTCAAACTGGTCCCTGCATATCCCAAATTAATATAAGCATACCAGGCATAATCGACCCTAGCCTGTCATAAATTGGTATGACAATGTTGTGGTGTGCATAGTCTCTTGAGTGGTCTGAGTCCATATGGCTAACCCTCAGGGAGACAGCTCTATGGAAACACTGTTTGGTCACTGTCACTTGGTATGGTTCGCTTGTGGACTGAAATCAATGAGTTTGTATTACGAGTATTCCCAATTCATTTGACAGTGGATAACCTGTGCAGTTTAGAAATCATTGTTAAATAAATGAAGAAACAAACAATGTTTTATTCACTATTTTATGAATTTCATGAAGTTTCTTCTGTGCTCATGGAACTTGTTCACAGTTCAGATACAATGTATAATACTCGAGTAAGTATGTGAAAGCTTTACCTTTACATGTTTTGGCCCTTATTGGCCATCACAGCACATGCCTCACTGGGTTACACACAACAGCATCACATAGATGGACATAGGCCAACAATACAACAGTTGATAAAATATTGTACATAACCAACAGAAGAAGCAAAGCATGTCATTACATTCTTCTATCTATTCAGCAAGCCTTCTTAACTTATTTTAAATGGTTTCCACCAATTACTCTTGATATTCACAGTCTATTTTAATTATTAACTATTTAGTCTTAATTTCTATAACATATAAGGCCCTTTATGATACAACAATTACAAAATGTCTAAGGTGGTTCCTTTATAGTACTGGCTGCACTTTCTAATGATGGCCAGTAAGGGCTGAAACATGTGAAGGCAAAACTATTACTCCTATTGAACTAGTTACATTTTACAGATTGTCACTTCTTATATATGTATTAAGAGGTGTGATGGTTCAAGGTGTGTCTTATAAGTACAGTACTTTTCCATGAATGTTCGTCAGAATTCTTAAAGAATATCAACATCCATTCTTAGATATAAGGTTCTGTGTCCCAAAAATCTGGATGGAATATATTGAAGATGCTGTCCAAGAGAAGAACCTATGGCCAAACGAGTCAGAATGTACATCCAGACTTTAGGTGGTCATCTTGAACATTTATTNGTCCCTAACTTATGCCTCAGTAGTTTCATGTCTGGAGCTAGTATTGCCATTGTCTATGCCAACAGTCATGCAATTATAAAAGTTCTGAATGACTATAATAAAATTATGTGAATAATCCACGGTTGAAGTAAACTTTCATAATTTACATTGCATCTGAAGACCCTTTCATGTACTTTAAGGTAGCCCACAAATAAAATATTATTTTCTCAATTTTATTATCAACTTTTTAGATTTCTGATTTGTAATGAAAATAATTCAACAATATTCTGCAAAAAAAATAGTTTACCAAACCGCTAAAGTTTCAAGTAACTCATCTGTGATTGGTTGAATCAAGTTACAGGGCAGCAAATGTGTAAATTACACTGCACTGAAGCCATCTATAGGATCTATAAGCAAATATGGACACATGTTGCTTTCTTGGCAAGTAGGTTGTCGCACGTGTTTTTGGGCGCAGCTGGATCTACTGGTTTGTTTCAAGGAACGCAAGCAACACAAGNCTAAAGTTTCAAGTAACTCATCTGTGATTGGTTGAATCAAGTTACATGTGTAATGTGTAAATTACACTGCACTGAAGCCATCTATAGCAGCTGATCTACTGGTTTGTTTCAAGGAACGCAAGCAACATAATAGAGATCGCATGTCTGTGGTACAAGCAGCAAGCCGTAAGGGTGAGGTGGTAAAGTTCGGTAAAGCGTATTTGCAGGTAGTGATTGTTGTGATCAGTGTTGTCTAGTGAAGTGAGCTTAGTACAGCGATGTTTTGAGAAATACAATTGGCATACGTATTTCATGAAGATCAGCATTTACAATTGCAGTGCCCTCCTGGGAAGTGACGTGTAGGTAATTGCTACGAAAGGAACGATAAATGTAATATAATGTAATGTGAAGCATTATAATACAATAAAATAAGTGCCAGAAACACGAAGCGTATTTTGAGGTTATTGCAGTTGTTATACAATGTGTGGTATATATTGTTGTCTGAAGTGTAATGCAGACAATAGAAGTTCTCGTGAAGACATAGTCTTGCCCAAATTAAGGGATTATTTGAAACACAGGGGTCCAGATTGTTTTTCAGAATATGCAATTGATGTTGGATGTAAGTGGTCAGTCAGTTTTGCAGGCAGTGTCCTTTGGATGCAAGGATTTCAACTAACCATGCAGCCCCTAATAGACGATGAATACAATTATCTTTTGTGGAATGGAGATGTTTTTAATGGATCAATGGTAAGTGAACAGAAGAACTCAAGAATACTGTCTTATGGAATATAATGCCATGTTAACAATCTGCCACGCTACACAGTGTTACATCCTAGAAGTCATCTCAATGAGGACCTTGTTCAAAGAAAAAAAGCCCTAGTTTTATTCAAAGTTCTGTAAGACTGTAGTATAAGAATAGGTTACCAGTGATTTTGCTCTTGTAGAGATCATCTGATTAAAACACTGGTAAAGTTTTGGTTGCTATATATATGTTGTTATTGTGCCACTTGTTCTTCCATGGTCCGTTGGTTTCATAACTCATTAGAAACTTGACACCAAACAAAGCTATGTGGGGTTTTGTTTTTTTTTTGTCCCCCCCCCCCTGAAAGAATCAAATGCATGAAAATAGGATTCAAAGGCATGACAAAATTCACTCTTTTGTTTTGTACATCAGCTGTTAGTGTATGCTGATGATGTGAATCTACTGGGTGATAATATAGATACCATAAAGGAAATCAAACTTTAATTGATGCTAGTAAGGAGGTTGGTCTAGAAGTAAACACAGAGAAAAGTAAATACATGTTACTGTCTCATCACTGGAATGCAGGGCAAAATCATGACATAAAGATAATTAACAGTTGTTTTGAAGATATGGCTCAGTTAAAATATTTGGGAATGACTATAACAAATCAAAACTTGATTCAGGAGGAAATTAGTGCTTACTACCATTCAGTTCAGAAGCTTTTGTCTTCTCATCTGCTGTCTAAATACATAAAAATTAGAATATCAAAAACTATAATTTTGCCTGTAGTTCTGTATGGGTGTGAAACTTCGTCTCTGACATTAGAGGAGGAAGATAGACTGAGGGTGTTTGAAAACATGGTGTTGAGAATATTTGGGCTGAAGAGAGATGAAGTGATGGGATGTTGGAGAACTCTACATAATGAGGAGCTTCATAACTTGTACTCTTCTCCAAGTATAATTAGAATGAAGTAAAAGAGGATGAAATGGGCGGGGCATGTAGCATGAATGGGGAGAAGAGGATTGCATATAGGATATTGGTGGGAAAGTCAGAAGGAAAGAGACCATTAGGAAGACCAAGATGTAGGTAGATGGACAATATTAAAATGGATCTTAGAGAGATAGGATGGGATGGTATAGATTGGATTGATCTGGCTCAGGATAGGTACCATTGGAGGGCTCTTGTGAANAAAAAAAATCTAGTATATGTTAATGTATGGATTTATGATGGATATTTTACTACTTTTGTGAAATCCTTACTATTTATGTGAAATTGAATTGTGCATGTATATATGTATTGTATGATTTTTGACAAATTCCACATCCGGTAGGTCATCTGACTAACTCATGGATCTATGGAATGCTATGTATGTATGTATGAGAGTCACAGTCATTGGCTTCAGCCATAATGATTATTGAGAAATGTGCTTCTGTGCTAACAAGTCTCATTCATATTCAAGTACTAGGTTTTTATCCTGGCTAAAGACTGGCTGTAATGGGGAGAGAGATGCATTTCAAGGTGTCTCATCTCTTCCAAAAATACACCAGAACTTTCTCCTGTAGATGATCATCCTTAATTTTCACTTGATGAGCTGTTAATGCTCTGCTATTAAATCATCTGTCAACCGTAGAAAAACAATCCAGCAGAGTAGATGATTCACCACTGGATAACCATTCTTGTGATGCTTCTTTTACTGTATGTAAAGGTCAGTCCATGCCAGCAGTTTCTCTTAAGGTTGTATTCAGTGGAGGTAGGATTAATTTGGATTTTAATTACATTGAAAGTTCAATACTTTAAATTGCCAGGGCAGCATACTTTCATAACCCTTCATCATGTCACTCAGGTCAGATTTTTGTAGTTTTTTCTGCAATATATATTGAAACTTGCTCCTTTGCAGTGGGTGAGGATCTCATGAATTGTTTCAGGGTGTATGAGTTTGTAATCTGAATCATTTATCCATTCAGGTAATGGAAGATGATAATCTACACTTTTATTTTATGTATCAACCATAACTTTAGGCTGTAAACATGTAACATAATTCATGTGAAGGCAGTATGGAAGTACAATTATGTATGTGCAAGAAGTTTGTATAAACATCTTTTAACCCAAGTACCTTTGAATGCATTTTAAGGTGTAGAACCTGGTTTGTGTACAACATGTCTTCTATTCAGGCTTGGTTCCTGTCACACACTGCAAGAAATTAGTTTTAAATTAATTTGAAGTCAAGTATATGGCCCAATGAAGGTACAGAGTAGAGTTATTTTCAAGAAACGAAGTATCACTCATTTAGTCAGGAAATTTTAGCCTTCCGTGGAACCTGAAGGATAATTACATATTCACGCATGTTGACAGTGGCCCATGTCTTGAGCCAGGTGAATCCAGTCCACATACTCACATCTTATTTATTTTGTCTTTGTGGTAGTGCTTTTAGTCCTTAACCTGTGTCGACAGAAGGTCAAATTCTGTATGTGTGTTTGCCTGTCATTTGCGAAGAGAATATGTTAGTATCATATTATTCTTATAAACTTGACACATACCTTAGCTGTTTAATGAATGGGGAAGTGTTCTCCATTAGCATCAACAGAAATTTTGGTGATAACTTAAATTACATGTAACTATGTCACTGTGTTTGAATGAGATTATGTTTCTTTAACAGCTTTTGGATATTGTGTCTCTCTGATGGTATAAGTAAAAGCCATGTGACAAAGGGCTGTTAACCAAGGTGGCTTGATATTTCTCAACTGCCATCTTGTACTTTGAAGTTTTCAGTTGTCACTGTATTTTTACCACCTTTGTGGTCTAGTGGTCAGAGTTCCTGGCTACAGATCCAGAGGTCCTGGGTTCGATACCTGGCGCTTCCAGGTTTTCTGATAAGTAATGGGTCTGCAACGGGGTCCACTCAGTCTTGTGAGGATAATTGAGCAGCTATTTCAAGGAAATAAGGCCTTCAGTCCAGAGAACTGGAATTAACGACTGTGGGGATTCGTTGCACTGACTACACGACACCCTCTATCCTCTAAAGTTGGCACTAACTTCGCTGACAAGCGGTGGTCGCTCAGTTGGTATAGTTTGCTGGAGGACTAAAGCCATTGTGTTTGTTTTTTGTTTTTTTGTTTGTTCTATATTTTTACTCTTATAAAGAAATTTTCTAAATCATGACATAAAGATGGGAATCAGATGTCTTGAAAATGTGACAAAGTTAAGATATTTGGGAACAATGATAAGAGATCGAAACCTGATTCAGGAGGAATTTAA